TGACTCCAGCTGACTTCCTGCCCCTTGGGCAGCATGCTCAATTTGATGAATTTGAGAGGTCCCTTCCAGCCCTAATGTCTATGAAATCTATTAGTGCAGGTTCATGGAGGATGTGTTATGAACTGTGATAAGTATTTATTGCATGTCAAATTCTCACAAACCTAGTAGATGTCATTTACAGAGAATTTAACTTTTTTCCCCCAGAACAATAACATTAATACAGTGAGATTCCAAATAATAAATAAAAGGAATCTGAATCTAGTGTCTAATGCATAACATCACCTCTATAGTGTGCTCTCATTACACAGAGAAAGGGTAGGTTCAGGGAGAATTTCAGAACTTTACAGTTTCCAGATGGTACAAGAGTGCGTCTACCACTGTACTCCATGTTTCATTACAGTGGTGATAGTTTTTTAGAAAAATGCAGGTTAAACAGACACATTCATCTTTGTACTCCATGACTAATCAAAACAACATTGCCTGATGTGGAGAAGATGCTTAGAATTCATTCTCTTTTGTCTAATTAGGTTCACAATAAATGTCTCAGTGTCTGCATGTGCTGTGCCATTAGGATGGAGTAAACTAATTAACTCTGCCATAGGTTAGTACTTGTAAACACAAGCACTACCTACAGAGGAGTTCTTTATTCTTCTGCAACGCACGTGTAAATGCTGCCTGCCGCTGCCCCCACACTGAAGTGCCCCAGCCAGCCAGCCCCCCACACTGAAGTGCCCTTGTGCCCCAGCCAGCCCCTCCTCAGCACGCTGATCTGGGTCAGAGCAGCCTCAGGCTGGCAGGCTGACTCCCCTGCCCCCCTGGGTCCTCTGCCAGTTGGGGCTGGGCTGCTCCAACATAGCTCAGTGTGTTGCAGTCCTGGGCACACGTTCAAATGTGGTGCCTGGGAGCAATTATCTCCGGCATGATATGCACTGGAGTTTATTGCTGCATGCTAATTGCATGTGTAAACATTCCCAGTAAGTGGTACAGAGTATATTGTACTGTTCTCTCTGTGCCTTAGTATTACAGCCTCAGTTTTCCTGGATTTTGGTATTGCAGACATGGGTTTAGGGTAATATTTGTTTAAACATTTCTGCCTAGTCATGCAGGGTGTAGGCATAATTTTTGCACTCTATGACATGGACTCATTTATTTAAAAATCTGTTTCTCTGTTTGCTTGCTTAAAGAATAATGATCAGCTCTCTGATTAGTATTACCTGATGTTCAGATACAAAATACTGCCAAGGCTTCAGTTGCTTTCTTTCCACTTAATCTTTATCTGGTGGCCAAGGAAAAAAAAACTCTTCCAAAATATATTCACTTATAAAACACACCTTTCCCCAGGTTTTGACAACTCTTGAACCTGGAGTATTTCCTACATTTGATGAACCCTACCCTAATTATAGTTAATAATAAAAATGTTAAAATACATCAGAAGCAGGAAGCCATCTGCAGAATTTGTGGCACCATTAGATGACCAAGGGTTCAAGGTGCACTCAGGGATGATAAGGCCATAGCAGAGAAGCTTAACAAATTCTTTGCATTGGTGTTGTAGATCAGTCCTTTCTAGTAGATGGGTCTGAAGTGACAACAGAGGAAATTTTAGAATAAATTGATACATTAATATTAATAAGTCACCAAGACTGGATTGCATTTACCTGAGAATTCTGAAGTTCTCGAAGGTGAAATTGCAGGACTGCGGGCAATAGTATGCAACATTGGGCGCAGATGGAAATGATATTTGTCGCACAATAAGCCCCTTGAAAGTGCTCTAAAGTTGTGCCCAAATAGAAGAGCACGGCTGTGAACCCTCCAATCACACCATAAATTAACCCTCAGTGTATGAGGGTTCAAATGAAAATGCTCCTAAGCGGAGTGACTTCATTACTTTGTCTGCTGTGGCCGGAACAGCAGCCTGGCCTGAGTTGAATGGGCCTGGCCTGGCCTGGCCTGAGCTGGTCTCTGAATGGGAGGGGGAGGAAGCGGGGGAGGGAAGTCCCTTCTGGGGTTCTCTCAGCCCCACTGGAGTAGGGGGGGGCAGGTGGATTGGAGCCCCTCACCTTGGGGGGGGCTCTAATCTACCCACCCATATGTACACAATGTTGGGGTCTGAACTAGCTGTACTGAGACTGTGGTGTCATTGTAGTCATTGCCAATCAGCGGTTGTGGGGTGGGGGAAGTGCACAGGGGAAACTGCAAGATTAAGGGTGCTGCCACGCAGCGCACTTCCCGTACGAATTCTAGTGGTCCCTCTCTACTGATAGCTATTGAGTAGAACATCTGGAAATGTTTCCTCTGGCATCTCTAAACTAATAATGGTGGATACCAGGGAATCATAGAAATTAAGGGCTGGAAGGGACCTCGAAAGATCGAGTCCAACTCCCCTGCTGTGGGCAGGAATACTGCTGAGATCAAATGATCCCAGCAAGATGTGAGATCAAATGATCCCGGCAAGGTGTCTGTCTAGCCTCCTCTTGAAGACTTCCAAGGTTAGGGACTGCACCACCTCCTTGGGAAGTCTTTTGCAGATTCTCGTCACCCTTACTGTAAAGTTCTTCCTCACATCTAACCTGAAACCAGTTTATGGTCACTGTTCCATGTCCTCCCCTGGGGCACCCTAGTAAATGCCAGCTGCTGATAGTCACCCCTTACATGCTTATAGATGGCTACCAAGTCCCCCCTCAATCTTCTCTTCTCCAGACTGAACAGGCCCAGATCCCTTAGTCTTTCCTCATAAGGTTTGTTCTCCAGGCTCTTAATCATTCTTGTGGCCCTTCTCGGGACCTGTTCAAGATTCACCACATCTTCGTTGAAGTGCAGTGCCTAGAACTGGACACACTACTCCAGCTGGGGTCTCACCATTGGCAAGTAGAGGAAGATCACTTCCTTAATCCTGCTGGCAGCGTATTAGCTAATGCATCCCAGTCTGATATTAGCCTTGTTGACTACAGTGTTGCACTGGTGGCTCATGTTCATCCCGTCATCAACCATAACCCCAGGATCCCTTTCAGCCACCCTGCAGGCTAGGATATCTCCTAACATATATTCTTGTGTCTAGTTACTTCTCCCCAAATGAAGTGCTCTGCATTTATCCTTATAAAAGGGAAGGTATTGAATAGGGGTTAGCTCAGTAGATACCTGTTCAATGTGCTCCCTCTATAGCATCCACCCCTGCCACTGTCAGCAACAGACTACTGGTCTAGATGGACCATTGGTTTGATCTAGTACAGCACTTATGTTATTATGGTTCTGGCTTTTAATTTTCTGTTTATTTCAGAGAAACACAGAATCTACCTTTGTGTGAGCTGATATAAATACATGGTTCCAACTGTAAATTTAATCTTGGCATGTACTGACATTGTCAGGTGTTACAAAAAAATTAACAACACACTTCAGTGCGAAAAAAAAGCAAAAATATAGTCTTTTTTCTGAATGAGCTTACCACTGAAAATGTATACAGCAAGGGATGAAAAGTGCTGAACATAGATTTTTTTATTGCTGGTAGGCTTCTGGTATTTAGAATTATTTATTTTTAAGGAACCAGGTTAGTGAACATTAAGGCTAGGGACAGACATTATACATAAATTGGCATAAGTGATCAGAAACTGGTTCAAATCTGTACCACAGCAGAGGTTCGGTGCATATAAACCACTTTAAAAATAGCCAAAACTGGTTTAAGATAAACCTGGATGGATGTAGTATCAAACTTAACTGATTTAGGTTAAATTGGCTTATTGGATTTCTGTCCCAGATACTCTCCAGATTCAAGTTAACTCAGTCCCCCAGCATCCCAGGATGCTTTGCACCTCCCCCACAAATTTCTCCCTTGCAGGGTGGGCAAGCTAGTCCAAGGTGTCTGCTCCAGCCAAGCAGGGAGGCATGCTCTAGTGTCCCCCAGCTTCTGGCCTGGGTCATGTGGCTGCATTTCCAGAATCAAAAGTGAATGTCTGTTTACTTGTTTATTGGTTCAATCTACACAGTTTAGACTAACCTGCAAAGATTGAATCAACTCAGCCTTAGGCTTTTTGATTGTCTATACTTAGCTTAGAAGAGTACTCAAGGAACAAAGAATAAATTCAAGGCTGAGAATGAGGCTGATTTACTGACTCTTTTACACAAGACAATCATTGACTAAACCTTCTTAGGATCCTGCTTTATGCTTTTGTGAAAGCTACTAAATAGTGGATGCAGCAGTGACCTCCTGGAGGTAAAGGGAACCAGCTATATATCTCTTGATTATTAGTCTTGAAGAAATGGTCGCTGTGAGTATGGAACACAAGACCTTATGTTCCACCTGAGGACAGCTGCTGAGAGCTTCTCAGAGAGGATGGCTATGAAGAGTTTGTTAAGCCCAGATCAGAATCTTAAACTACTAGAAATTAACAGCATAAAACAGCAAGGAATTTAATGCGTTTTCTCCACTGTAAAGTTTATTTGTAAATAGTAGGGGTACTGGTCCAGAGGAACTGGATTTCTTTAAAAATAGAAAATCATTATTTAGGAATTGAATGTGAAACTAGTGTGTCCTCACTTTGTAAAATCATGTTCAATAAGGCAGTATTGCTTTTTTTTTTAAACACCGACTAAACATTAGGATGTCTATACACTGTATTTATAAATTCCATTGGTTATATGAGATAATCTGGCAAGTTGGCCGTGTTCTTTAAGGCAATCTGTTATCTTTTCCTGTTGATGCATCATATATAAGAAAACTGAATTTGATAAATCAATCTCTACTACAGCATATTATGGCTTATGGCCTAAAGCAGTACATCCCCTTTTACTCATCTCCAAAAGCCCTATGAGGAGGAGAGTACTATGCCTTCCAACTTAGACTATACACATGAAGAAAGATTCCTGCATGTACAGGATGCTTTGTGTATTTACTTTCCAAGTGGCAAGACTTTTACTGTTATAGTTGATCTTTGACATCTATGTTTTCACCCTCTTTAGTTTTTGCAGGCAATTTTAGTTTACCTTCACTTTCTTGTCATTCACTGCAGATGCTGACAATTTTTCCCCCCTGTGGTTTCAGGTAAATGAAGCACATACACTAAGTATCTTCTGATAAAGTTCTCAAATGTAACATGACGTTTGTCTTTGCAGGGGATCTGTGTCATGAACTTTTATTCTCATTCCTTTTGAGATTGAGGGGATCAGTAAAAAACAGTACACAAATCAGGACTGTGGTTATCTTGTTGAATATTACTAATGTCATATTAAGTTCTTTGTGGCTTTTTCTGATATTTCCCTCACAGTTTTAGTTGAACACAATAAATGTATGCAGTTTATCATTTTTTTTATTTGAGACACAAATAGCAAAATACTGAGGTATCAAACATTTCCTCAGTAGCTACAATATTGCCACTATGTACAAAAATTTTGATAAATGTACTACACATATAAAAATACAGTATGCATTACATATATACAGTACAATGTGCAAAACATATGGCATTCAAACATGGAATTGATTTCAGGGGTGCAAACAGCAAATACAAAGGCATCATGGTTTCTTATAGAAAGGCAATACATGAATGGATGCCCTGATTGCCATACTTTTTTATTGATGTAGCATGTAAATGAAGAGAGCTGTACAGACAGGTATTCATCTTCTTTTTTTCATCAAGTGAGATGCTAAGACATAATTTTGACCATGAAAATAAGAAGAGAAACACTGCTGACTGTAAGCATTATTTTACTGCAAGCAGTACAGTGAAGAAACAGCTATCTGAAAAGAAGCCTGTGTTTATTACCTAAAACAGTTGCTCAAACAGCAAAACAAATGTGTACTGTTATACATCAAAATCAACTTCAAAATATATACATCCTTAATTAAAAAAAAGATCATTTTAAACAGATAATACTTTTTGGGACTGAATTTTCAATGCTTCAAAATACAAAGTGCCTCCTTTGGCAATAAAAATGGCAATCCTTTGGTTCCTATTAAATAAAACATTGTATTAGTAGAACTTATTGAGACTATGTATCTTTTGAATATCTAAGCAGTATTCTTTACCCCACCAAAAATGACATTATAGCTCTAGAGTCAAGGTACACTGATTTCCTGTTTTTCTCTGAAACACTGCTCTCACTAAGGCCACATACAAACGTTCAGCTTCTACTGGGAGAATTGCCTAGATCTTGGTAGAAAACAAAACTCTGCAGACATTCAAGCTTTTTTTTCCCAAGAGGTAAAATGGCTGTTTCTGGAGAAAAATAACCTGGGAACAACCAGAGTTAAATTGCTCTTGGAAGAGTTTCTCCCAAGAGACTGAAAGTCTCTACACTTTCTTCCAGCTTACCTTCTCTTGGGACTGTCTGTGGGTTTTCAACAGCAGCCACCTGCCACTTGACAGCCTTCCCCCTTCCTAGGCAGGGGAGAGGACAGACTGCCAGTTTAGGGGCTTCCCTAAGGGCAGGGGTGACCCAGAGAGCTCCCTGGCTGGAGACCTGGCCTGCAAAGCAATTTCTTCCAGCAGAAATAAATGTCAGTACACAGCCACAGTCAGCATGACACTTGCTAGATTTCTAAAGCTGCATTTATATACCAAATGCAAGGTTTTTTTATTCAATCAGACACCGCAGAATAAAATAAGTCTCTTCTTTCAGGTATCAAATTGTACTGACAGGTGTTTAAAAAAAATATTTGATAGGATTTTCTTTTGCTTAATTTTTCAGGTCAAACTATTTTAAGAACTTTATAAGAGTTCAGATGATATTCCTATACTAGAAATACATAACAAATAGAATAAAAGCATCTATAAAACAGCTGCATGCTCTACATTCCTGTATATTTTTTTTTATTTGCTCCATATGTTAATGTAATGACAGGAAAATATGCAACCATACTTTGTTTAAATGCTGCTGGATTGCAATTTAAAGATTTAAGAGTAGTGCAGTGTGTTTTGACATTAAGGGTTCATTATTCAGAATTCTGTAGAACTAATTTTTCTTTCCAGTTTTAATAGAATTTGCTTAAAGAGTTTAAAAATACAATGATTCTATCCAAATAAAAATGATTCTTTACAACAGTCAGCTAGCTTTACTGCATTTTTACTACATAATGCCCCCTTCCAGTTAAAAGTATTCTGTGATTTGCATTTTACTTGCTTTTATGATCCTTAGAGAAGTCAAACAGCTTGCTCTGGGTTATGATGTTGCCTATCAACTACAAGTTTCAGATAGCTAAATGTGTTAACTAAGCAACATATGGATGTTTTCTCTTGGAATTTTGTACACCTGTTTACCTTACAGCTACTCATACGGGTGACCCAACAATGTTTCAAATAACTTTTGAAAAAGACATCAGCATAGAATAGAAAATGTTTCCTAAATGCTAAAGCCTAATTTCACAAGCCCACGTTTATGCAAGCTCAGATTGCAGATTCGGTCCTAGGGTTGCTTGAAAAAAAATCTACCATAAATTTTACCCTTCAGAAAAGCCTGTTGAATTTATGACAAATATAAAGAACCATCAATAGTGTTCTAGAAAAAAAATGCATGTAAACTTACATGCCTCAACAAATGTTGAATGGCACTAAAAAGTGCAGAAGAAACACTGTTTCTGTGCTTAGTGACAAAAAGGTGGTCTTTGTTTTGATAAAACTTTTCCCTTAGTTATAAAGTTACTATCCACTGACAGCAATTAGGCCATGTCTCTTGTTAGTCTACTTCAGCCAGTACATGGCAAGTGTAGTACTAGTACATTCTTTTTCAACTGTTTGCACAATGAGACGTCATTCTAATTGTGGCAGTCACAAAACTGTACAGTTATATTAGACTTTCAAGATGTATATATCCTATTTGTGTTACAAAAATGATCATGTAAAACATGCACAAAAAGAAAAATCTAAGCAAGAAAATCTTTTCACAATACCAGGTATACATGAATATGGCAAATATTGTAGCACATTTCAGAACATATGATCCAAAGCAAACCATTATATATGAGGTTTTATAATACATGTAATTCTGAAACGTACAAAAAATAATCATACCCCATACACTAAAATACTTGCATTTTTAGAACTTCATACTGATCCCTTTTGTGTGTGTGTATGTGTGTGTGTGTGCATTGACCAGGTTAGGGGAAAAAACAACTCAGTATTGGTACTGACAGATTTCAGAGGCTTGGGTACTTCTTCCACCTGCACTCAGATTCCTATGGGTTGGTTAATAAACTACATTGCCAGTGATACTTGTGTAGCAAGATGCTGCATAATATTGCCAGTTTTGAGCTATATTTACAGGCACATCAAAATGACAGTACAATTTCTCTCTGTGCTAGTCTGGCTAATTTTTTCCTCCAATAGAAAACTGATTTTAATTGAATTTGTACCCATCACATTTAAACAGAAAGCACAAACAAAAGGGGCCATTCTGTTACTATCATCTTTGGTCTGTCTACGTTTTTATACTGCACATTTTTAGTACAATATTTTACATAATACACTAACATACAGTAGTGTAGAACAATATACATTTCATAGAGGTCCTCCTACCAGACCAAGAACCCACCTCTCTTGCAAGGTGTGAAAAGCCTCTAACTCCCACTGACTTCTGTAACAGCTGAGGGTATTCAGCACCTCACAGGATCAGCCCCAAGGGAGCATGGTCAAGTGGAAAGGTAAAAGATGCAGATATTTGTTCAGTCATGTTCACAAGAGTCCTACCATAGTTATCAATACTTAAAAACAGAACATTACGTTAAAAGTGTGCTCATGTGCATATATACCAAAGCCAAGAAAATCAGAATTTAAGGCAGGCAGTCTCAATGCAATATTGCCCTTGAGCATTGCTTACACAGATATGGATGGCAATATCTATGCACAACAATGTAGGATAAGGATAATGTTCTTAACTTCAAACTAGTGTCCTTTTCCTTGTGGGACAACCCTAATACACGACATTTCGACTTTAAAGGACATTTAGTTTAAAAGTAAACTGCAATGTGACTTCATAAATGTGACTTTTCATTAAATGCTTGCAGTTTTTTGGGTTTTTTTTAGATACAGGTGTAATTGTCATTAAACCAATCTCACTGATCTGACAGGTCCCAATGTACATATGTTATTTAGGCCTGAAAGTGTGATGCAATCCTTTGTGAACACATGTTTGAAGAAGCAGAAAGGACTATATTATAGAATTAGGCACTGAGGATATTTCAACAACATGGAATTCTGGAACTTGAATATCTGAAAGATGATATTTTAAAAGTTCATTTTGGTATGCGTTATTATGTTATTATTATAAAGTTAATAGCCACTTGGTTTTCACTAAGTCACCCCTGAAAATAATTACTTGGCAACTTTTATTTCTGAAACTGAAAAAACCCAAATTGTTTCTGAACTGAGACCAATTTTCATCCCAAATACTGTTTTTATATAATCTTAAAAGAACTAATGGTTTTTGATGGCTATGTGCGACTAATACTAGCCACATCAGTACAGCTACATTGATTGTATGGAAAGCAAAATATAGTGTTCCAGAATATATAACTCCCACTTAGATTCTACAAAGAATGATGTAACTCAATTGAAGCTAACATGGAAATAGTCAAGAAGAAGAATAAGCAAGTGAAGGACTGCTCATGTTTTACTACATACCTGCCACGCAAATAATGTGCATTCCAGCTTGGTAAATGTGCATCTTCATTTAGCAGTGTTTACTTGTGTATCTTGAGGCCTTCCTATTTTTCTCCACTTCAACAGTGCTGTCTTAGGATTGCTTTTGAACAGTTTCAACCAGGGTTAGGTACTGGTAGATGAAGTTAAGTTGTCTACAATGTCATTATATCCTGTGCAAGCTGGGGCTGATCCTGCAAACATATTGCACTTGATTGGATCATTTGTGCATAGGCGTTTGCAAAATCAGAGCCCTAAAAAGCTTTACCAGAAATTCTTGTAGTAGACTGAAAACAATATAATGTGCTGAGCTGATTCACTGCGATATTTTGACAGATGAATCTCTTTAGCAAATACTATCAAACAATGGGAGTGAAATTGGATATTTACTATTAGAATACTAGAGTCCATTGGTTGTTATGCCTACTGCTACCCTTCCCCCCACAGAAGTAAATTGTACAAGCCACAACAATAAAAAGTATACAAATACCTGTCTGATATACACATTAAAACCATCTATTAAATCCAGAGTGGAAAATTCAGTGTTCTCAAAATACCTGGCCTTTTCTACAGTGGATTATTCACAATTACACTTAAAATATCTCTTGGGATGCAGTTATGTCCTCCCCTCAGTATTTAAAATCGAAATAGAGTGAGAAAAGAGTTTAAAAAGTCACAAAACAAACCGAAATACAAAACAAACAAATTAAAGGACTAGATACAAGTGAAATTTCACTGAACCAGCCAGTGCTTTTAGTTGCCTTTGCCCTCACAATGCATCTTGCTCTTGGCTCAGGCTGTCCACAGGAACAATTAAGTGCAGTGATACCTTCCCTTCCCCCAATGTATGCTCTCTTTGTCCAAACAGCAGAATAAAATCTGTCCTATTTTTCTTCTGTTTCAGTTCTAACCAGTGGCCTCACGTTATGCAATTTGAGCATGGCAAAGGTATTAATGCTAATTCTTACACATACATGTTTCATGCTTCACCTTGGCAGTACTTTTTATTAATAAATACAACCATCCTTTTCTGACCTGTGTAGTATAACACTCAAATGCCCCTGACCTGCATTACTGAGACACTAAGTAATTCATTGTCATGTACTTCAACATTAGTGAAGGCTTCTCATCGAACATTTCTCCTTCCCATCATTCTGTGGTAATTTACTTTAATTGCAATCAGAATGATGTAACAATGAACCTACACTGTAAACAGATCTTTGAAAGTCACATTCTTATTGGCTGCACTTTTATACCTTAATCCCAGTGCAACTGTAGGTCTTGAGGATCTAGAAAGTCAGTGGAAAACATACTTGGGGCAGTAGAGCCAAGAGGAGTGAGCCCTGATGAGGAATTGGGCATGGTAATGTCTAACCACTCCATATTGTCTAAATTTGTGTCAGAAAGGTCAAGAGATAAACAGGAACTATTAGCAGTGAATTGAGGATCAGATGTTTCCATGGGTGACTGGGAGTGATCAAGCATGCTGGAGTGATTGAGGAGATCACTTTGAAGGTCTTCAATCAGAGAAAATGACTCTCTGTCTTCGCTGCTGCTTGTTAACGGAGGAATTTCATTACCGGGGGGCAAAGTTCCATCCAAGAGCGCTTCAAGTTGGTTTTCTAAACTGTTTGCCAGTTCTAAGGAGATAGGAGGTGCCATTTGCACTTGTGGTGGTGGACGAGATACTACTGTATTCACTGGCATTGTGGTGATATTAGCTGTAACTGGTCTCATTTTGGAAATTGGAGATGGTTCCTCCTTTATTGGAAGGGAAATTTCTGCAAAAAGGAAAGTTAAAATAAATCAGTAAAGATCACCATGTGTTCAAAAATTAGTATTTATTTCTTTACTGCCTTTAGTCAAGGACTCTATGCTTTTTACAGCACCTGAAACAATAATTAAATGCTCTCTGGGCAGGGACTGACTTTTTGCTCTAAGTAGAAGGCAAGAAAAACATGGGTGTGGAATTCTGTTTCCCTTTCTGAGCATAAATGGCCATTTTCTAGCTGCATACCTGGTTGTTTGGCCCTCCCTCTACAACTGCAGGTGGTTAAGTGGCCAGCACAGCCTGGCTACATACACACATAACTGAGCATTCGTCTGGGTGGGGAAACTCTGGGGCGGGTAGTTTTATTCCTCAACAGCTGAGGGCATGTCCCAAGGAAGCAATAGGCCCAGGTCCGAGGGGGCTTCACCCAAAGGGGCTTTGAAACTGCATCTCTAACTTCCCAGTACAGTGCTGTAACCATCTGGACACAGGTTAGGTGTTTATCCATTCTTTATCCAGGCTGTATTCTGGAAGCTGAGCCATGGCCCCTTGCATTTAATAGTCATTGGATAAAATGAACTGAGAGCAGCACAGCATTCTACTAGGAGCAGGGGGCTAGGGCAGAACCTATTCCTTTCTACAGCAACATTAATCTCACTGAGCTACACGTTGTGTGATGCTTCAGAGCTTGTGCCTGCAATCCCACACATGGGGCTATGAGTGCAGCCCTGTGCATGTGCTGCATGAGGGAGAAACTCCCCTACACTTGGCATGTTGAAGTCTGTGCCCACAGCCCCTTATGCTGGGGGGGGGGAGAACGGACGGGACTGGGAGCAGTGTCTGTGCCCTACACCTTCCCCAGACTGATCCCTGGCCTTGAAAGTGGGGACAGCAGGAAAGGGGGGCAGTTGCAGGATGAATACTTGTACTGCTTCATTCCCAGAACAATTTCTCTAAAATTTCCACAGCTAGAAATGAACACCTACACACACCCCTACGTTCTTCCTTTTCTTATTTTTTCTTCTTATTTTTTTTTTGTTGCTCATCCTCAACTTTTAGGATATAATGTTGCAATTCTTCCTCAGTCAAGAAGCCCCAGGGAAGTTAACATCACCAGTAGTGTTAGGAAGGCCCATTGCTTATTACCTGAATAAGTGTTTTGTACCTGTAATGGTCCAGGAAGCATGTGAGAGGCAAGAGTTTTTGTGGATGGTATCCTTTATTGGACCAACTGCATGGCTGGGATAAAGTTAGACAAGCTTTCAGGTATCACATGGAACAAAAGCTTGTGTAAAACTTCACACTTTACTTCACAGGGGACAATGACCCTCTTGATCCTGTTCTTCCATTCTGGTGAGCGGTGACTGGCTGCAGGTGGGGTGGGGTGCACTGCCACGCTCAAGGGGTGCATGTGCTCCCATGTGAATCCCCTATGCATCGCCAATGCCAGTAGTGGCAGTGCCATGGCAGTGTGGGGCTGGGGTTTCCATGGAGACCAGCCCCAGTAGCGCTGTCACGGAGGGAAGCTGCTCCAGGCTGAAATCGTGCAGTGGCAATGGCATGGCCCAGAGCTGGGACAGAGCCGTGATCCACTGCCTGTACACCCTTGCCCAAAGCATGCGGGCAACAGATCACAGCTCTGCCCCAGCTCTGGACCATGCTGTCACTGCCAGCGCTGTGCTTTGTCTCAGCAACTAGAGCAACTTTCCATCCTGCTGCACACCTTGTCAGTGCTGCTGGGGTTAGTCTCCATGGAAACCCTGGCTGTGTGCTGTCACGGTGCTGCTATTCCTGAGGTCTCCATGGAAACTGGCCACAGTGACACAGGCAGGGGCTGCTGGGAAATGGAGTCCGCTGTGGCTGGATTTTGCCCATTCCTGGTCTAGTCACGTGTCTCCTCATTGCTCCCTAGATCTGATTATAGAAATTCTACACTCTGCAATTAATTTTCTTAACCTTGCAATTGTACTTTGAGAAGCAGAAACACTCTTATTTTAGAATGTGTCTCAAGAACCACCTAATAACCTACAATCGGTTATTAGCAGTAGCTACTTTCTTCCTTCTGACAGCAATATAAATGTTTCCCAGTAGCTACTGTACAAAATTTGTTTATGCAACTTTAAATAAAATTACTTCGATTTCTCCCTCCTTAACATACATGATGACTTGGAGACTGTTTCATATTTTTTTCTGTCCAAATTGGGCAGGATGTTAGCCATTAAATAATAAATATATGCACATATTTTATGTTTCTCCAGTAGTTCAGGTTTTCATAATGTGTTGTTATATTTGTAGCCTATAGTTGAAAATATTTATCAATGCTTTACTCTGAATATATTTTTCCTGTTTTGTAACATACAGAACTTGCAATTGTTTATTTCCTCTAGTATTGACAGAATAATTGCAAGACTGTCCTACCTAAATTGAAGTGCTACTGCTGACACTTAAGATATAACATATACTGAACTCCACACAGGCTAACTTGCCCTACTGAGAAACTGTGGAGTACAGACATACCCTTACACTGTAATCAGTTATGCTTCTCCTGTGAAGCTCAAAAATATCTTCCCTTGCTTTCAGCTGTTGGCCATGTGACATTTGTTTAGAATAGTAATAGAATTTAAGCCTCTATCATGTTCATCACTTCAAGTGTGTGTCAGAATCCAGTTGGCTATTTCAAAATCAAACAGAAGACAAGCTGATGATCTGTCCCTTACTCTCTTGTTCAGCTCTTGAGAGTCAATCAGTCAATTAAATTACCTAATTAATTGCGCCATTAATTATTCTGGACAACAGGTTAATTCACTACTCTCTCTATTTAAGGTACTCTGATAACTATGTATTAGTGGCTTCTTCTTATTTAAAATGACCTACTGACTTCTAAACTGGGAGTCAGAATTTTACAGCATTATTTTACAGAAAAATTTGGCCAGAGGCGTAGAAACCATCTGAGATACACTTCTATCCTATAGTAAACACCAGGGACCCCAGTTTTCCCTGGGAAAAAAAGGGAGAATCTCTGTTTAAAAAACACAGAAATTTGTTTATCCATGACGTTCTGAAAACAGGGTGGCATCCCGCAGCAAGCTGTGGCCTGACTGGCTGAGAAGCAAATAACACGGAAAAAATAAAAGACAGCAGAAATTGCACTGCTTGCTGCAAGACACCGTCATGCTTTCAGTAAGTTATGGATAAACAAGGATTCCATGTTTTTCTGTGGCAAACGGAAAACCAGGATCCCTGGTAATCATGTCTTTTGAATAGAAAAGCTCTTCTTTCAGGTTCAGTAGCAGAAATAGGATTCCATGCACCAAGCATTTGAAAGAACCAGGAAGTTTCAGGCACATCTAGCTTGCCCCATTTCTTCAGCTGCAGGAACAGCTGGGGGCTTCAGACTACCCCTCCTTCTGGCCTTCCCCTTTTTTTCCTTGTGCAGCAGGGAGGCGCCTTGCATGCAGTCAAGCAATGGGGGTGCGGAATGAAGTTGGGAGGCTGCACCTGGGTGCACAGTGAAGTGAAGGGTGGGAGAGAAGCATCAGGGAATGTGAAGTACAGTGGGAAGGTGGGGTGCAGTGCTGCGAGGTGAAGGAAGGGGGTTACCTGAGTACACAGAGAAGCGGTAGGGCGGTGTGCGGTAAGAGGAAAATCTGTTTAAAAAATGGCAGGAGTGCCTGGGCCTGTGGTGTGGCAGCAGTGGGGCATGGTGCAGCAGAAGGGGCATCCGGGTATGTAGTGTGCCCATGTTGGGGGGAGTGGGGGTGGGGGCAGAACAGGGACATGCAGCCCCTGGGCTCCATGGTCCCCCCTGGTATGGCTCCTGCTACTGCAGCTTCTGTTATTGTGGCCTGAAGAGCGTGCAGCCCTCAGCCACTGATTTAAAGACTAGAATTACAAGAATGATATTCTTACATAGGAAGAAACACACAGATGACAAGAAGGAACGGAGAATAACTAAGACATTATTTATTTTATGCATTTTTTTCTTTGTCATGTGTCTGTCTCTTTCC